CTGTATATCACTTGGAAATTAAAATATAAATATGAGTATGGCAATATAAATATTTTAAAATGTGAATGTATGGAAAACTACATTTCATTGTTAAGGAATGTTAATTTGTGTTTACTTTTGACAAATGACTTCACTCATAAATAGATGTCTGTTCAATTTTTGGGGGGCTAATTGTAAAATACCTAGGAATAAAAACTAACTTAAATAGTGACTGATACTTGTGGAAGGCATCATTATCAGAGAAGATATATTAGACTACATGGCCTATGATGCTAAAACTTAGTAAGGCTTTCAATCCAGACATCTGTGTTTTCATTTTTTTATTTTAGTGATGTCATTATAAGTTATCAAGAAAGTTAACCCTCTATCTCCTTATCTCTAGGTATACTAAACATATATTCATCCTTTTTCTCATTAAAAAAAACTGAAAGGCTGTAGAAGATAAATGCAGAGAAGGAAGGAAAACTAGAACTAAAGATAACATGCAACAACCTAAATAGTAAGCATTACCAGAGTACTTTGTAAGAAGTTTATGCTTTTCTAAAATGTAAAAGTTCCAAATAATTCTATAGAATAGTATCTAGTTATATTACAGTATCATTACAAAGCTAATTCATACCAATGGCACCTATGATTCTGATATGAATACTTAAGAATGAATCTATTAAGTACCTATTATTTTTGGAAATAAAAACTGGTTGGCCAATTATTTTGTGAGAAAAAAGTTCTTGGTGACTGAAGAGTTACTGAGATCTGTATTTGGAATTAGGTGCAAAGTATTCTAAGACAACCTTAAATAAGCTTGTTTTACTTTTGATATTACGTGTTCTCAATATTCATTTAGTTTGAAAGATACAGATACACTATTTATGATAATCATAACTTTTGGACCCTTACAGCCTGCATACCTTTTGTAACATTCAAATACTTACTTGAACTTAGAAACACCAAATCTTAGAGCTGAAAAACTGACACAAAGTAGGAATCCTCTTTGTAATAACCTCATAGATGTTGCAACTGATAATACATTATTGTTTGTTAGAAAATTACATTAGTACAATGTGAATACAAAACCAAGATAGCAAAACAATATAAAATTCAAGTACAAATGCTGCTTCTATGTCATCAAATTAAATGTAATGACATTTAAAATCCTACCAAATTTACTTATTTCTCTATTATAATTTCATCAGAAGTCTAATGTAAAGAAAAAACTACTACTACTAATCCCTAGATTACAGAAAGAAAGAATCATAGGAACTGAACTGATACAAGTGTAAGCAGTTGTTTCAGCTCAGAAGTAAGCTATATGGCCTGAGTTATAATCTTAGATATAACAAAGAAGGTAGTGGATATGGGTCACTTGACTAGTGAAGCTTATATGATATTTATAGTTACATTATTTGGACTACTTAAGAATCCAGTTATAATTTCTCTATTTTACATAAACTTCAAAAAAGAAATTATAACTGCTGCTTATACAGAATGCATGCCAGGATTTCAGGGTTATTAGTGTATATATATATATATATATATATATATAGTTTTGCTATGGTTTATGTAGAGGGGTTAACTTATACAGCTTTATAGTTGTAGATTTTACTTATAATTTACTATAGTAAATGTTTCCACTTGAATTGGACAATATTAATATATACTTCAAGAAGGAAAAAATATTCTTTTTCTTTCTCCAAGTCACTCAAGCATAGATAATACTAAAGTTGCTCTACATGTTAGAAGCCCTTGGGTAAGTTGTTAGCAAAAATAATTAATCAGTTTTTATAAATAAAAAGCACAGAGACTAAATCAATTTTTAAGATAGGAATAAAGGTGCCTGCATGTTTCTTTTGCTCCTTGTCTCCAACCATGTCCCCCTTTTGAGATCATGCGACTGAGTAAATTCCAACATATAATAAATCTGCTTGCATGGAATGAGAAAATCTCTTTCCAATATAGAGAAAACAATATACGAAATGAATCATATTATATAAGGTTAAACTGAGCATATACATACATACTTATTCAAGTAAATAATCAAGAGGAAAATTATTTTACAGTAGCTTTTCTTCACAGCTTATATTTTTCAGCTTTAAAAAATACCTGATCATTAGCTCAGGTTGGTATATTATAGTATCACATCTTATGAACTAATATAGTATATATTTTATTTTTTAAAAATCTCAGGTCATTAAAATACATTTATTTGTTGTGCATACTAACACTGGCATTTGATACATGATTTTTCTCCCAATAAAGGAATCTGAGTTAATTACTTTCAGGTAATTACTACTCTTGTTTCTAGTTTCTATAAAATCTCAGCAAAGACTTGCTATCAGTTTGGTTATGCATTTTATAATAAACAATGCTACATTGAAAGCATTTAATTTTAGGTGAACCACATGGTTTTATTCTATTCTAATTACACCTACGTGCATTTCTGTTAGGTCTATTTAATTTCTTGGTGTATATTTTTCTAATAATCAAATTTAACATTGTAGCATAAGCAAATGAGTTATTTAGAATGGTTTTCACTGGCATTTCTATTTCAAAACTTCCATATTCTTACTGATTAGATTAAAAGCCAAGAAGCCCAAGGATTGGAGTGATTACACTGAACATCAGCTTCTTAAAAGACAATGTTTTTGTTTTCAAATACTGTTTCTGAACCACAGGATGACTACTTATAATGGCTCTCTTAGTTCAGCTCAGTAGGAAAAGAAAGAAAATGCAATAGAAACCTATGTGGTTAATAAAAGATCTCTCAACGCTTCTATGGTAAAGTGTAGTCTCTATTAGAACTAAAGTTATTCAAATAAGAGGTCCCACTTCACATCAGGTAAGTACTTTATTTCTCTCCCTTCTAACTCCCAATGAAAGGAAAAGATAGAGGTCATAAGCATGATTCACACTACTGTAGTATTTTCTTCTTTGGGTATAATTTCTTTTTTAACTGGGTAATCCCCTTTCTTAATTTGTATGGGAACAGAAGTGACACCTTACACTCAGCTGTTAGAATACTGATTTTGGAAAAAGGTGTACCATATGGGGAAACAAAACCTTACATCTTTCATTTAAAAGACAAAGTCAACTTAAAAACTATATAATGCAATGTGCCATAAGCTGTTGAATCCTATTGAGAGCATGGTGATAGAGAAAAAGTAAGTAACAGGGGGAGGGTTGTTTATCTGATGAAAGCACAATATATATAGACCTGAAGTGCCAAGGTGAACCCCTCTTGGACTATTAATATGCGCTTGAAAAAATGAAGGACAAGAAGGTAAAACAGGTCTTATTCAAGGGTGGGTACACGGTGGGAGGGGGAAGGGCACAAAGAAAGGGTGAATGAGGGTGAATATGGTGGATGTATTTTTTGTATTCGTATGTGAAAATAGAAGAATGAAACCTGTTGAAATTGTTCTAAGAAGGAGGGAATAGAAAGGAGGGAGAACAATGGAGGGGATAAGTCTAACTAAAATATATTATAAGCACATACATAAATAACACAATGTATCCCCTGTACAACTATTACATGCTACTTAAAAAATAGTAAGCATGCACTCCTCGTGACAATAAACTATAATTTTATCTTTCTAAATGTTTTAAGCATTTTTATGGCAAATTACTCAGTATTCTATCAGAAAAGCTGAAACAAAAACAAAGTATTGGGTTCCATTTCAATGGTTTATTTTGGGAACTAAAGCAAATTAGCTGAAGAATCAGAATTTCTACTCTCTTGTCCTTTTGGCTTTAAGTGGCTTTTACAGGGAGTATCCTCAGATGAGAAACTTCTAACACTCCTGCAGAGATGACCTGCTTGAAGAACGGGCTGCCTGATTAACTATTAACTGCTCTCAATAGGATTAGATAATTAAGGACATTGATGACCATTAATTAGGAGGAGGGCACATTAATTTGTCACTGGATAGGGCCCTTACAATGATTTATAGGTTAGTGCTACTTACAAATGTGAAGGGAAAGAGAAAAAGAGAGAGAGCCATTAAGTTACCTTATCAAGTGGCCAGCTTAAAGAGGGCAGAGGGTCAACAAAAGGCCAAAGTGGTCACTTAAGGGTGAAGTCCCAAACACCAAAGCAGTGCCAAACCACATTGACCATCATTTGGTGATGAAGTTAAAAATATGCTAATTTATTGGTGGCAATTCTCTCTTTTTATGGTTTCAAGCAGTTAAGACAAGTGGCCTGCTTAAGAGCTTTTCATTTGAGAAGAGATTAAACAAAATGGTTTGTCAAGGCTGCTTGGCTGTTTTATGTCTTTGTTAAAAAAATTGCACTAACTAAACTGATAACTATCACATCACCCAAAAGCCATCTCTCTCTGAACATTTACTTCATTAATAAATACATCAACTCTAATTGCTTAATAGTTATATGTTCATTTGCTTTTTAGCAAGATTAAGTTGAAATAAATCTTTTGTACTCTTTTTTTTGTCACATTGCTTGTCTAAAGGTTACAAAAAAAGGTAAATGTTGTAGAGGATTTAGTTAAAGCCACTGGGGTAAATTATACTCTTACTTTTTAATTTCACTTTAGTGAAAGGTACTTTCACCAATAGTAAAGAAAAATACAATTAGAATGTAGGTAAGAATCCTCTTTTCTTAGACATGCACAATTGTGGATAGCATTTACATTCCATAACCAAGTAAGCATGGCTCATTAACATTTAATTAAATATGCTTTTGAAAGCTTTGGAAATATGCATATCATATTTATCCTGTAAGTTGGAGGTTACTTTTAATAGACATTTGAAACAAAATCATTTTTGCTATATTATTAATATACTCTACCAATATACTATTAAATATCAATATACAATTAAAATGAAAGACAGAGTAAAAAAATTATTGTGTTATATCAAATATACTTAAGATTTAGCATGAAACATGATCTAGGAATGTCATTAACATGAAAAAAAAAGAGGTGCAGGGGGCAGAGATACCATTTACCTCAAGACCAAAAGCTAAAACATAAAAGTCCTCTTACCTCAATGGTGAATAGCTTCCTCTTTAATTTAAAAGCTAAGTCTTTGACATCTGATTCATCACAAATCAAGTTATTAAGCCGAGGAATCTGCAGTATATGAATCAAACCTTGTGAAAAGGAAATTAAAAGAAAAAAATTAAAACGCTGCCATCAGATGCATAAATTAAAGAGTCTTACAGCAGAATCCTGTAAATTTACACACAAGCATCCTCCCCTTTTAAAACTGGAGCTTACTACCAGGAGCAATGAAGCAAATGGTGTGATTATACTCAAGTAATCAAGCAGAATAAGATAAACAGAAATCCTTGTGCGAGGAAAACTAATTGCACTTTGGTACAGAAGTACAGATGTAAAGAGGGATCTTAATACTTGTCAAAACTACAGCCGGTTTGTGTGCGATTTTCTCTTGTATTTACAGTAAGCAAATATGGCTATCACCTTGCATGCTGCCCATAGCACCACTGAGTGATCTTTATTTTATTAAATGCACCAGTAAGCAGCCAGCAAAACAAGGCTTATGGGTTACTAATAACAAGTGAAGCACTAACAAAGTATTTCATTTTTGTATCTTATTCATGACTTGAGCAAACCATTGAAGAAAACTACATTTCAGATCACACTTTAGGATCAAACTAACCCCTGTGCCATCCCAGGACACTCATTTCTATGGTGTGTTAGACCTTTATGTAGTGGGCATAAGCTTTGTAGCAGTGCTAGGTAAACTGTGAGCTTTGGCCTCTTGTCAGTAGAAACATTTACTAATTTTTTCTGACAACGGCACTGGATGGCTTTTGTGTGGCTTAATGTAGTTTCTGACTAAACTAGGGGTCATTTCCCATAGATGAAGACATGGGAGGTTCTTCAGTGCACCTTTCTGCCTGACTCAGCTCATATTAAAAAATCAACATCCCAAGGACACTGGTCCCTGAATAGGGGGCAGGGAGGAAAATTCCAGATTTGAACAGCAGATAAATAAAATTTACAGAACTGCCTCTCTAGTATAAGGTTTTGTATGTATATTTGAATGCTTAGTAATGTATTAGTTTTAGCTTAAAAGTATAAACTTCCAGGAAGTTAACTTTAGAAACAATCCCTTCAAAAATATCTTACTGAATTTTTTTAAACATAAAAAATGTAAGATGCTATTAAGAAAATAGCTTTTAGCTACAAATTAAAAATACATATATCTACTTGGTAAAAAAAATTAGAAATAAGCACAGTATACTAATATTTGTACATTTCTCATTTTAACCTTACATGTGCTTACTTAACTAATTATTAAACCAGGAGGCCTTACAGAATGAATTAATCATTTCATCATCAGGCCTTTCTTATTAACAGAGGTTATCATCCACCAGAACTCTATAGGGAATAATTTATCAATTCAGAGGTTTCAGGACAAAGAATAACCATGTTTTAATCAAAAAATATTTTCAAAGAATATAAAATATAATTTTACTAAATTCATAATCTAATAATACTTATAAATCATAATATATAATTTATTATGGTAACACCTAAATAGGATTGTTTTAAAAGAAAACAGAAATAACAATGAATTAAAAAATAGTCAAATCTTCATCTTTCAACCATAGTGAAATAATATATTAAATGAATCACATCTAGGGTTAACTTGAGCATATATATGCACTTATTCAAGTAAATAATCAAGAGAGAAATTATTTTACAGTAGCTCCTTCACAGCTTATATCTTTCAGCTTTAAAAAAATACTTGATTGTTAGCTCAGGCTATTTTATTATTATTTAAGTGCATTTTTTTTGTGTGTGTGTGATCAAACTGAGGGTCTTGTGCATGCTAAGCAAGTGCTCTACCTCTGAGCTGCAGCCTCATCAATTTTATTATTGTTTTTAAAGGCTATATGCTGACCCCTCAAAGCACTGGCCAATTACGTAAAATATTTTATAATCTTTAATTTTTTTTTTGTAGACTCTAGAATGTAAACCAACAACATAATGGCCACAGTCTGACAAAATCACAGTACTAGACTTCAAATATGCTAATGAATCTTTAGACTAAAAGTTTCTATAGAAGTACAGTAGTTACATAATAACAGCAATAACATATATACACACAGGTAAAATTCTGTCCTTTACTACATTTTATCCTGAGTTTAAACACATGAACTACTTAACGTTTACTATTCAAATACTTTTGTGGTTCTTTCTGTGTAAGAATTTTTTTTTAATTCCCCAATTAACCAAGTGATTAAAATATTTTTAAAGCTTAAAAAAAAATAGTAACTGGGTATACCACTCAGTGATTGATGTGCACTTAGCATGCACAAGGCACTGGGTTCAATTCCCAGTGTGTGTTACTGGGGATCAAACCCAGGGCTTTGTGCATGCTAGACCAGGGTTTGACTACTCCACTACGTCTCCAGCCTGGTGTGCATCTTAATATCTCATAGCTAGCTTTGTGAAGTATAAACTACTAGTGGTTTATACAAGATCCTGGTAAGGTGTTACCTACTGAGTATCCCTTATCTGAAATGCTTAGGATCAGAAGTATTTCAGATTATGGAGCATGTAAGATTTTGAGTTTTCAGATTAGGGATTCTCCACGTATATTATTCAAATTAATGTAACATTTACTTCAAATGTGGCTAATAAGTATGACTGATTTCATGAAAATTTTGTCAGACAACAAAATGTATATTTAAGCTATGCCTTAGACCTTGGGTTTGACTCCTTTCGAATAGTTATATAGTCTACAGTCTTAATGTAGTCTGATGATAAGATGGCATGAAATATTAGCCAGGAGTGGAAAATATTTAATAGGTATATTATAAAATAAAATTCATATTACTTGATAGTAGATATTCTGACTAGATAGGAGGATTATTCCAGGTATGCTAGAACCAGCCAGGACATGCTCTTCTCATTGTAAAGGTGATGATACTTACCATGATAATCCTTATATAATGGATTGGTTTCTCTTTCAGAACCAATAAAAGATTCCAGAGCAACTACTGTATCTGACAAATTTGTAACACGAGCAATAACTGTTTTACTCTGCAAAACACAGAAATGAAACACGTCATGTCTAAAAATGTTAACATTTACACAGTACCACTATGCCATTTTGACAACAAATAATAGGGGAGACAATCAACATAAAGAAGTAACTTAAATATTAAAACTACTACTGGCTGAAAACTGGGTGAAATGTGTTCTTAGCAGAAAATTCTGATCCACATAGGTATGCTATGTTAATACCCGAAGAGTTGAGGGGAAAGAATAAATTAGTAGAAAGCATAAATCAATTATGTTTGTATGTCTTAAGGAGCACGCCTACCTTTATTCCCATACACTATTATTTTTCAAATTACTTCAGCCATTGCCCATTGAAAAATCTGGCAGGCAATTCAGGAGCAGTAGCTAGCACAGTACAAAGTATAAGGCAAGGGTTCCATTGTCGCCTGTCGGCTGGGACTATGTCTCAGCCCTAAAACAGCTGAGGTACTCTATGACACATTAGAAACATGGAAGGGTCCAACTAAGAGGCTGCAAAATGGCTAGCTTTGGAGTCTTCTATTTTCTCTTTCCAGATGCTTCTCTTTGGCTCTGGGGTAACAATAAAAGCAAAGAAAAAATAGTAGCTGACTAGCACTTAGGCTAATACTCCTTGAAATGAATTAAAATACCACTAAACAATAAATACATCTTGAGAAATGTCACATTATGCTAGATGAAAAAATACATTAATAGGCATTAATATGTTTCCAAATATAGCACATTCAGTTATTAAGTAGTTAAATTTCTAAAACACTCAGAAATTCATGGCTATCAAAATAACACCATCAAACAGCTTTTTAAAAAATTATTTTATTTAATGGAAATCCAGTATTCCTTTTAGCCTTTGACAGTATGATAGGTCAGAAAATTGTGATTATGCAGTATAATGCCTTAGGAATTTATTTTTTGCTTTAAAGATCTAGATAAGTTGAAAAAAATTAATGTTTGTGAAATTTTGTAATTCCAAAACTCTCATTTTATACATTGGTAATGCTCATCAGTTTAAAAGTTAATCCTTGAAGAAAAGGATGGATGCATCCTTTTCTTGACTGGTGCAAACCAGTCAAGAAAACTGACCAGTTTGGTGCTATGTCCCCTGTTAGGAGGAGGCCAAATAAATGCAAAAGTTTTTATTTTATGGAAACAAAGATTGACTAGTTTTCTTAAGTTCCTTTATAAAGGCTGCATAAGCACGCAAAATAAGAGAGAGTATTAACTGATTCAGTGTGAAATATATAGTAGCTTGTGTCACCAAATACTCTGCTGAGATAGTTAACTCCTATTTAGGGCAATATCTGAAACTCCTCCATAAGGAAGAATGTATGTCATATAAAGAATGTGTCAGTCTTTGAATCCGTGCTTTTAAAAAGGATAAGCAAAAATAATTTTCCGTAATTGTCTTCGATACTTTCAAACATGTGGACAATAAGTAAAGAAAGATAAACATAATTTGGAAATGGCTACTTTTTTCTAAGGCAATTTTTCATTCAGTGGTGAGAAAATAATCCAGATTGATTCCTTACTTTCAGTGCTGTGCCACAGGGGATGGTAGTACTCCAGGAATAACAGAGACTTCTAAAGCCATAAACATGTTCCCCTCAATATTTCTTTAGCCAAAGACCATTATATCAAATTCATCCAGGTTGGGTTTCAGCCAGTTATTCTTCACCCAAACAAAAATGTCTGCCAGACATTCCAACAGCTGGGAGACAGTTCACAATGAGTCAACTTGAAAATGAATCATTGTGCTGAGTACTGAACAATGTTGTGGTGGGGGTGGGGTGTGGCTGGGTTAGTAGTGAAGGATGAGAACAAGTGTGAGATGAAGAAAAACCATGTGGTTCTCCCATCAAGAAGAATCTTGGATAATAACCAGCAGGCTCTTATCATTTCATTTTCATATAAACTCAACTGGGAAGAGTATTCCTGTCATGGACCCTCAGATGAACAATCACTTATAAAGACTACTGACAATATTTCTTAATGAAAAAGGTCAGATTTACTTTTATCTATAAATAAAAGACTAAGCCTTTTTAATCTAAGTACCTGAATCTAAAATAGTAAAAGTCAATTTTTATTAGAATTCAATTATCTGAGATTTCAGAGATGTCAACCAGGACTTCTCAATTACATGAATAATAGAAATTGTAAAGTCTAAAGATGGGTTTGATTCCCATTCTAGTAGTATACAAACAACGTGCTGTGTATTTAAATGGCTAATTTGACATTTGTTTATTTCCTTCCTTCATTTAATCTTAAAATTAACAAGTAAACCATTAACAGACTAAAATTTATCAACTTTATAGGTCTTTTTAAGGCAGTTTGTGAGGGATAAAAAATCAACTATACACTTTGATGAGGAAAACTAATGAACTGGAAATATAAAAGGAATGTACAACCTGGATTTCAAAATTTCTCAAAACCTCATAATTTTATTTATTATATTTCTAAGTTTTGTAGGTTTACATCATAGTTATTAACTACAAACTAAAATCTATTTTAAAAGATTTCATGAAATTTTAGAGTAAGAATAAATTTTTAATCATACTATTATCATAAAGTAAGTCATATTTACTGCTTTCTGCACAATTGCTTTGTAAAACATTTTATGCAATGTGGCAAACCAGATTAGTTGTGAATGTTATATAGATATCTGAAAAACATCTACAGAATTAAAAGCAATAGAAATTATATAAGAATAACATCTAAGTTTCTGAGATAACCTTTATTTTATGATAAACTCATTCAATTTTCTAGTTATTTGTAGGAGCAGAAAAGATATTTGAGCATGTAAATAAGTCTTTTTTTATTAAAAAAAAACTCTTACAGATTATTTCTGTATGTCCAAAATTCTTAATATGCTCCATTGATGTAATCCTGCCTTAAAACCATTCTTATCAAAAGGTCTTTCAAATCATAATATTATTACTAAAAGGTCTTTTAGATAAAGGTAGGAGAATTTATGTAAGAATCTACAATTAACAGCTTTAAAAACCCTTTAAAAGCATAATAATCACAATTCGCTTTGGCAGGAATACACTGTGGATAACACACTGTCATAATACAACTGGTGGTGTTCAGAAAGCGTTAGTAAAATGATTGGGAGTCTTAAAATTGGAATTTCTACATTCTCTTCCTAACAGATTTATGTGTTTTTACGTTATTATCAATTCTTTAGTATACAGTTGAAAATGGAGAAGTAAAAGTATTTTGTGCAATTACTCAAACATAAGTTTGAACATAATTTTCACATTAATTTTGAATTTGTATGTTACAGTTTCCAGTAAGGAATATTTGAGACAAGATACTGAGAATTCAGCAGCGGAATAAACTAATGGTTATAGTGGATGTGTGGCACAGTGACATCACCCAAGAAGGTGCAATGATCTTGCCACCCCTCATCTTTGCCCATCTGGATACGAACATCTAGGAAGACTCAAAAATCCTTCTTACACCAGACACATCTCCCTTTGCTCCTGGGTGAAGGTTGTCAGCTCTGGATATTAGCCAAGACATGACTAGGAGGGAAGCCAGAAGAGAAGAGAGCCAGGGTCCAGGACTTTTAAGAGTTTGCTGGCAGTTTCAAATAGCATTGTAATGAGTTACATAAAAGACTCTTAAAATTTCCTGCTCAGTGTAATTTCTTAATTTTTTAAACTTAAAATATATCAAATGTTATTATAAATACACAAAGCAGGTCAGATTAAGTCTTTTATCTTCTTGCTCCAATTTTTATTTCACAAAAATGTTAAAAGTTATTGTTTTGACTGTTTCTTGCTTGCTTTAATAGAATGATACTCCAAATCCATCAAACGGGTTTTAAATTATGAAAGATTAATTTAATGCTTCCTTTCAAATCAAAGCTCATAAAGATAACTATGAAATTTGTTAAGCGGTAAAAACTCAACTACTGTCATATAAAGCTCAAAGAATTTTCTAATAAATAGTTTAGATATCTACTTAGCATTACCAAGTAACAATGAGAATTATTTCAAACCGTGAATTATTTCCTTATTGTCTTCAACTTAATTATCTCAATATAAAAATGCAATTTGTACCAATATAAAATGCATTTTCAGGAAATACTTTAACAAGAAGACTAAGAAGTAAGTAACCAATAATTTAATGATCAAGAAGCTTGAGAAGACGAAACCAACTGTCATTTCTGCAATGCCTTAGATAAGGATAAATTCTTGGAGTATTCAATTCATATTATTTAAGAAGGAGAGCAAACACCATACAAAGGAAGTGGTCCCATTTGGCTATGACACAGTCAGATTTGGATGAAATCACTATTAAATATAGTTATAAAGAGTTAAAGAAACATTTAAGTTACTCTCTGTTTGACCCTAGTGTATGATTCGACATGTGTATGTGTTCTCCACAAACAACTATAAATTTTATTTCTTTGTTATGAAATCCAAGAAATAAATACCTATTTAAGGATAAATCTAGGGATATTTAATAGGTATTTGTTTTTCCATGGTTATTAGGTTCTCTGTTCTACTGCAATAAGGATTATGGGGTTGGGGGTGTGGCTCAAGTCGTAGAGTACCTGCCTAACAAGCATAAGGCCCCAAGTTTAAACCCTAGTACCACATACACACCACCTTTTCCCCCCCCAAAAAATCAGGACTATGAAATAGCAAAATTGTTCTATTAGTAATTTATTACTTCTTAGATTATTTTTGTTAAAAAATTGACAGTGAAGAAGTAATTCAATTCATAATATTTTAAATTTAATAAAGAATATAATTTTGCTAGACAAAATTATACCAATGCATATTTGTAACAAATGAATGAGGGTATTAGCCTCCAGATTTAATATTGAACTTTATTCAAGATCACAGTTAATTTTAGAATATAGAGGAATTTTGCAAATAAACAAGTTTTAAATGTAACATACTTTCTTGGAAGCATCACATAATGCATGTAGGGAAATCATAAGACAAATTCTAGCCTAAAGCTTAAAACACATCCACAAAGGAGTTAATGGA